TATGGAGGTCTACATTGGAGTCTAAAGGCCTTCATGCCAGTAGAACTAAAAATGAATACATGGAATGTAATTTTAGTAGTAGTAGTTCTAGTGATAGAAGTGTAACTTTGGGTGATCAAATTATTAAAAGGTGTTAATGATTTAGATATCTTGGGTCTGTTGTTCAAAGCGATGGTGATATAGATGGGGATGTTAATAGTAGAATTCAAGTTGGTTGGTTGAAGTGGAGGAATGCTTCGGGGCTTTTGTGTGACAGAAAAGTACCGCTTAGATTGAAAGGAAAAATTTATTTAGACGGTGGTGAGATCCGCAATGCTCTTTGGCGCTGAATGCTGGCCTTTAAAAGAGAAGCATAATACTAAGTTAAGTGTTGCCGAGATGAGAATGATTAGGTCGATGAGTGGCTTTACACTTAGAGAAAAAATACGAAATGGATATATCCGTGATAGGGTTGGTGTAGCTCCTGTGACGGACAAAATTAGACAAAGTCTTCTTAGATGGTTTGGTCGCATTAAACGTCGACCATCTGATAATCCGATTAGGAGAGTAGATGTTTTAGATTCGACTTATGTTAAGAAAGACAAAGGTAGACCTAGGAAGACTTGGGCTTATTGTATAAAAAATGATCTTAGTTTATTAGAACTAAATAAAAATATGACACTAAATAGGGCGCAATGGAGAAAAAGGATTCATGTAGCCGACCCCACATAGTGGGATTAAGGCTTTTGTTGTTGCTATTGTTGTTGTTTAAATGTCTTATTTCTAGCTATTTGATCAAAATCAAAATGTTAAAACTAGACAATATCAAAATCGAGCAATTATTAAAAAAATTGATTGGTTCTCTAGTTCGCCAGTTCAACTCCAATTCTAACCTGTTCAATTCTAGCTTTATGTGGAGATTATTTTGAGATAGGATTGAATTGGTCGAATGACTATTTGATAATTGAATCGGTTGAACTAGCTGGTTTGCCCGCTTTCATGCTAAAATCAGGATTAAAAGAGTGAGCCCCAACATGGGATCACATAATTGCATTGAAGTAGATGTATGAGGCAAATCCTTAACGCTGCTGTCAATATTTTCTAGCGAATGTGGCAAAAGATCAAAGGGCAGCCTAGGAAATGCAATTGAAGAAAAACTCTACGTCAGAAGGCTAGAGATGTGGTGTAATGACATTGAAGACAACAATGACATGAAATTTTCTAATGTCGGAGTGACACAAAAACTGACTTGCATGTTGTTAGATTGCTGGCTGACGAAAATGCTTCAACAAAAAAATAAAGAGGTAGTTACACGTGACAATGAGGCGACCATGAAATCCTGAGAGCGAGTCCAAGGGCATACGTGTGAGGACACTAACATTAAAATGATAGGCAGTACTACGAGATGCAATGTACTGAAAGAAAAGTAGGCATGATATGAGGCCACGAGCACAAGTCTTGGGTTGCAAAACAAATGCGGCAAGTCATGGTTTGAGGCTGAGCACGTGAAATCAAGCTTATGTTTGAATGCTGTGAGTTGTAGTTGCGACAATTTGATATGGTGAGCCGCAATATGAGGGCGTGTGCGAGAGGTGAAGACTAAGTTTTTTAGAAGGCAGGCATTTTATTCAATGTTTCTTGGAGGAGCGTCATATCTAGCTCTTATTGCCCCTTTTGAGCATAACATCAACACCACTACTTGATAAACAAACGTGCTTATAATAAATATAATCGATTATGTATTTCTTGCATAATTAATATCTTATCACTGTATTAGTATATTTTGCTATGCAAAGTTGATTCTTATGATTAACACATTATAGGGCATGTATATTCATGTAACTCATCAGCTGTTGCAAAGGCTGGCATCTTATGCCTACATAACAATGTAAATCAATTAACAGGGATGTTCTAGCATGACAAAATGAACAGATACTATCCATGTAAAGCATCTGTGGTGGTAGTCCAATGCAGAAATCTACCCTTAGACTAATTGTAGTTATAGCTATAGCTTTAGCATAACCTTGGATGAATGACTACTAAATAGAAAGAGGCAGTAGGCCTAACGCAGAATAACTTCCTCGAATTTGCCTTTCAATTATGCAAAGGAGAGAAGGAACATGCAAGAGAAGGAACATAAAGGCCTTTGCTACATCAATCTCGGCCATTTATTAAAGACTATCAGATATGTTTGACGAATGCACATTTTTTCGTTAGTTTTGGTCTCTCTGTATATTTCAGTTTGGAAGAAACTGAGTGTCTTTGATCCGTATTTATGAATCTGTCCAAAATTATTGGAAAAGAGAATTGAGATGGCTGAAATATTAATTAAAATTGTTAGAGTACCATATCAATATTATCACTTGCACACTTAGTTTTTATTAGGAATCTATAATACTTATTATTATAATATAGTTTATTTGATTGTAACAACTGGTATAGATATTTAGTAAAGACATGGGTTCTTGCTGCTTGTCTCACATATGCATTTTTGGTGTCTCACCAAATAGTTATTTAAAATGGTTAAGTCACTGCAGATCCATCCTGGAATGCTACAGGTACATGAACACTAAACATTGTAAGAAAAGGGATCATGCTACAGGTGCATGTTATGATCTTTTTACTTGCTTGATGTAGCAAAAGCTCTGGTGATATAAGGAATATTTGCAGTTTGAATAGTGTGCTCCTGACCGCAGTTATTTGTGATGCTTGCATTTTTTTTAATCCCATAAATTTATATTTCTGCAATGAATGTAGGGGTTTTCCAGTTTGGTTACGTGACATAGAAGGTATAGAGTTCCGAACTAACAACCGACCATTCAAGGTACTTCTGTTTATTGACCATTCAAGGTACTTCTGTTTATTGGCAATAACTTGTTGTTGATATCTTTTATACAATTGTTCATGGTAATTATATGCACTAAAAACCATGTATGGCCTTCCTGGTAAAAAATTTACAAATCAGTTCAATTTCTGCTGATTATTATCCTTATTTGATTGATTTATTCATTTTTATCAGAAGTTATGCATAATCTTTCACAAGTAAATAGATTGTTTGAAAATATTCATCTGCTATGTAGACAAGGCCCTTAATTCTATTTGTAACAGCAAAGCATTTTAATGTCATGTTTCGAAGCATTGAGCTCATTTTCAATCTCTCTGAATGGTGATTTTACTTGTTATGATCCATGAATATTGATTTATTCAATTTATTCTTACGTTGTTGACATGAAAATTCTACTACAAACTGTGGAAGTTAATATGATTACGAAGTGATAAATCCAAATTGCAATCTTGAGAAAAAAAAAAGCCATATTTCTGAACTGGTTAAACTTAGTCTAAGATGGGTCACCCAAGTAAGGCAGGTGACGCCAAGTAAAATTGGCTGAGCTCTAGACAGGCATATATATTTGGATTAATCATGGTTGAAAAGGCTTGACCCATGCAAAAGCACAGACCATAGAGAGGTCATAATATGGTCTCCTAATGAACCAGATATACACCATCTCTAGAAGGGTTATACATATGTTTTAAGTGAATATATAAAGGCCTCGAGGAATAAATTGTACTATAAAGGGTGGGTTCTTATATAAAGTTCCTCCTGGTCTAAAGAATTTATAAATGATTTAATACTGTATTTATGTTTATCTAAATCTTGGACCACCTACGACTCTCCTAGTTGATGTTTGCGAGCTCTTGAGCCTTATTCCACTTGTCCATCTTGGCACACTTGCTGGTCTTGTTGGACTTACCTTGACATCATAGAAAATGATTTTCTTTTCAATGCCTACACACAGTTTTTGCGGCATCATCCTGTTCACTAAGGCTATTTAAATATTTGATTATCTAATTGGCGTCATCTCTTGTGCTTGTCTCTCTTTTACGATAATAGGTTTTGTTCTTCTCGCTTGACACATGACTCATTAGCCTAGTCTCCTTTATAGTGCTCTTTGACTCTTGTTATCACTCTATTTTTTTGATTCGCATGTGATTAATCTTGTTGGTTTCTTAATATTGTAATTGAATTGTTGGTTATGTTGAATCGACATAGTCGACTTAATTTTTTTTCTTATTTCATTTTTATAATAAAAATTTTAAACCAATTCTCGATTTATTTGTGCCACTCTTGTATAGGGGCTATGCTAATCTTCTCTATATAGTTTCAATTTTATTGGATGTCTTCAACGATTCATTTATAATAGCAGCGGGTTGTTTCTTGAAGATGACAACTTTCTTACTTTGCCATAAAATGATCAATGCTTGGCATTTAAGGATTTGTATTAAGTTAAAATAATTTGTTGTGGCATGATTACAGTTACCACTGCTGATAAAGAAATGAAAATTTTGAGTTATTTTTTATGAACCCTTTAGGGTCAGTTAGGTACAAAGCTTTAGTTCACATAAAATATTCTTTTTTAGATCGATGGAAAAATGGAGGTGGTGAATCACAGTGTAGGAAACATCTTCAAGTGTTTTGTGGGAAAAAATATCAAGCAGTCAGATTTATTTTTTTTCTTTAATTAAGTTTACTTAAAAGATGTCCACTTGTCAGTCTGCATGTCTTATTACTTTTATTATGGTTTATGGGAGAAATCCCGTCACCCCCATTTAATCTATTTTTGACGTAGATATCAGATTAAAGGAAGTCTAGGCTTTGTATGAGCATTTTGAAAGGCTAGGTCTTTAAGAAAAATGCTAAGTAAACAAATAAATCATGGAAGGCTTAGATCTTTAAGGAAGATGAGTTGGTGTGGATCAAATTGAAGGAGAGGTTTCCTATATGTGCATTTGGAAAGCTTAGGCTTAGAACTAATGGTCCCTTTTGAATTGCTCAAGAGAAGCCCGATGCCAACACTTCATTGTTGGTTGGTGGGCCATAAAGAAGCCCAATGGGTACACACAAGTGTTGCTCAAGAGACACATGTGGACCCCCACTATAGAAGGGATTGCTCCTATGTTGGCCTCTTTTGTGCATGCCGCTCAAGGTGATCACCTTGATGTCCAAGTGGATGTTGGCTTGGGTTTCGATAGAAACGAAGCCGAGCAATAGAATGTAGCCAATGTGGTCCAACATGTTGAGGAGTTATAGGATAAGAGACTATGGAGGAAGATCCTGTCGAAGTTGGTGGCCTTCGACCTTTATTCCAATTGAGTCTCCTTTACACAGAAAAAAAAAGTAGCACAATTTACCTCTGGGCGGGGGAGCGTGCCTCCTCGCATGATCGATGATTCCTCATACTTGTTAGGTTCTCTTTGCCACTATTACTATAGTAGATGAAACACCGACATAGACACTCGTGAACTTAATACGGTAGCATATGGACTTCGACTAGCCCCCCCCCCCCCCCACAACCCTTTTCGCTTCTTCCCTTCTTCTTGCTTGGTCCATGCTGTTTGTCATTAAGGCCAAAGCTTCTTTGACGATTTTTAGTGGCTTTCTTCGCACTCTAGCTAGAAATCCTCAATGCAGAGCACCCCCTGGAGAGTTTTTTGAGCAACTCACTTTGATGCAGGAAAATGTCACTTAGGGTCTGTTTGGCGCAGCTGCAGATTGTCAGCTTTTCAGCTGCAGCTTCGCTGCCCCAGGGA